CTTGTTAATAACTCATTTCTTTAGTTTCTTAAACCAGTTACTATTTCACTTTTGAGCATTAATATGTGCTCCTGCAATATTTTTTCTTCCTGCTTTAAAATAAACCTAATAACTCTACACTGTTATTTCTCTCTTTCCAACTTGTGAGCCATCCATCAATTAATGCAAAGTTCTTTCCTAGTATTTCAGTGAAATTTCTCAACTTACTTGATGGAAAGAACTGTAGAAGTAGGAAAATGTTTTACTTTCATAGCTTGAAACCACTCTCGAAAAACAGTTTCAAAGTCTCTAAGTTTTCCATCTTCTCCCCCCCCTGTTTCCTTGAGATAATTTCATTTTTGATAGTTTTTCAACATATATATAGTTCTTTGCTTTAAGTAAATTACATAATGCTGTTTGGGAAATTTCTGCTAGCTTTAATGCAGTTTTTCTGTGGCTATATTTACAAAGAACATTGACACTGTTTAACAATTTATCTTTCTCTTTCAAGCTTAGCTCTTTTCGTTTAGGCATTTTTAACATGGTAATCATACAAGAGATTTTTAAAATTCCAGTGATTTATGTAATTTCCAAACTCAACATTTCTAGTTATTAAAGAGATTGATATTTGTCTGCTAGTCAATCTGTCATTGCAGACAAAGAGTTCTGTAAACAGTATCTCACAAGTGCAGAGATCTAGAAGGTTAGAAAATTTCAGTCAAATTTGTTTTTCTGAAGCAGTACATACTTGAATGATAAATAAGCCACAGTCCATAAATGGAAAGTTAATTAGTTAAAATATTGATAGCTTTGATAGGTACAAGTAGATATGTTAATACTGAAGAATGAGTCTTTTGATAATCTGAGTTTTATAAGCAGCAGAGTTAAGTTTAATAAATGGTGATTTTTCAATTTATTGGCACAGGGGTTTTCAGCCAGGGCTTTCCCTGGGAAGAATTTCATAATTTCAAGAGAGACGCACTCAGCCTTTTAGTTAGCTTAATTTTAGTTTAAGAATATTACAGACCAACTTTTATTCAAGTTATGTATTTAACAGTATTTTCTATATGTTTTGCTGTTTAATTTATAAAACTTATAAAAAAAATTATGTATAATGTACATTTAGTTTTCAAATTTTGGGAATGATCTTCTAGCAACAGTGAAAGGGTGGCACCACTGGATAAGTATATATTTGTTCTGGTTCCTGAAAATTTGAATATAATAAGCGTCTGATTTTATAAACTACTGAGTTTAATAAGCGATGGGTATTGTATACAGCATTAGTAACAGTAATACTGCAAATGTTCATAATTTTCAATACAATGCTCTAAATTAAATGCATTTTAAATTATTTCAATTAAAGCATTATACAGTAAAGATTTTAATACAATAAAAATGCAATAAAGATTTAAGTTATTTAGAAATAGTTTCAGTGCTTTTAAACTGCTTAATCTGCTAAGCAGATATAATTTGAGACATAAACTGGAGATCTTATGCCACATTCATTCTGGAAACTGGCTAGTTGCTAAGCTGCATGGGAGGCAAACTGAAGATGTGTATCATGTACTAACATTTCTCACTGACATAAATGATAAATAGCATTATGGTGAAACATAATGTAGTAGCCTAAAAGTTTAGAAAGGCTTCAGTTATATATAGAAGTTCAGAAATTGCTTATTAACCAACTAGCAGTAAAGCTTATTGTGGAAAAACAGGACAGATTTTATTTCTTTTTTATTTTGATATTTATAGCCATGTATAACTTGTTTTTTTATATATAGCTGGCCTTATTTTATGAATCAAAGACTGTTTTGTGTTAATATTTCATATAATTTTATCAGACAGCAATTATAAAAAGAAAAAACAGTTACTATTAAAAATGCAGTTAATTAGTTTTCTAACAGTTGCATTGAATACAACGAATTGCAAGCTGAACCCAGATTGCTTTATATAATAAAATAACAAACAAGAAAAAGGGAGAAGCTAAATTCATTTTTGGTCCTGCTGTATATTTTCTCTCAGAATCATACTTTAATTTATTTAGATTAAAGCAATCATGGACTGAAAGTTGACACAAACAATAAATGGCATATTTAAAGGTAGGTTTCTTAGAAGGCAAAAGAAGTCAAATTCATTCAGTATTTAAAGTTTTTAAACAATAAAATACTGTAGACATGCAATTCCAATTGCAAAATTTATCAAAATTAGGAAGAAAATTTATGAAAACAATTTTAACGCTTTATGGAAGAGAATTTTATAAATATAAGATTTAACTTTTTTAATAAGTCTCTGCTTCCCCAGGAGAAAAAAATCCAATTAATAAAATATTGATTGACTGAAAAATGAAAGTTAAATGTTTTGTAATTTGCTTGCAGCTATAAATGTAGCTTATATTTTCATGGAGCCAAAATTAATAACAAATGCTGTTTTATCGAATACTGAACCATTGATTACCAACATTAGCAGCTTATATTCTTTTTTTTTTTTTTTTTTTTTTTTTTCCCCGAAATGATCAAAACACTGTTGATTTTGCTTGAAAATAAATAGGCACTGAATATAATGTAATAAATTTGTTCTCAATTACATTTATGAATTTTCATATAATCTGTAAAATTTTTTGTATTTAACTTATTGAAAGTAAAATGAATATTTTGATAACTGGCTTTTTATATTTATGAAATTTTCCACTCTCATTAATGAAAAAATTAATCAATTTTTGTACTTTTGGGAAATTCCGAATTGGAAGTATGTGTTCAGATTTAATATTTAAATAAATGAACTTGAAACCGTTTTCGTTACACTCTGTAGACAAGTTTATCAAAAAGAAAAAGAAAGAAAAATATCAAGTGTTAGATAAGTGCAAGTACATACCTTAGTGTATATATCTTATTGATAGTTGTAAATATATACCTAAGTGTATGTTTAAAACAGTGCATAGATATGTAGCAATAGAAGGCAGAACCTGTTTTGTTGAATTCATTGCCAAAAAAAGGCTCCGTAAACAAAAATAAATTAACCTGTTCTCCATTCTGAAATATTCTCTATTTATCATAAGGAGTCCACCAAAAACATCTTGAATGAAAATATCACAGAGAAATTAACTTGAGGGGGATGCATCATAAGGACTATTCTAATGAAAAGAGAGCAAGAAGAAATCATTGCTTTTCTAAAATAGAAAAAAAAACAGTAGTTGTATAAAATAAAGCAGTGCCAAAATTCGCAATTTTAAAACATGATCATAAAATATAAAAGCATCTTACAAAGCAATATCCTATGATAGTAATAACATTACAGAGATGCATTTTTGGATTTTAGAAGTTTCAAATATGTATTCACTGTTGCAATACTATGGTTTTTAAATTTCTGTTAAAGCAGGATAAATATTTTATCTGTATTATTTCAAATTTTGCTAATTAATACTTTTAAACTGAAAAATCAAGAAGGCAATTTAAGTATTCTAAGCAGAAAATGAGTAGAAATTGCAGGTACATATGACAGTTGACAAAATTTTAAACTTATTTAGTTAGCAGTTAAAAGTTGTTATTTAGTCTTCTGTAAAAAGGTATTAATAGTTTTTCAAAAAATGAAGTATAAAGTGATTAGGAAAAAAAAAATAATTGTTAAGTTATAAAATCATTTCCATAATTTAGTTAGCTTTCACATTCAGATTATTCTTTGGTTAAGTACTTTACCAAGAATTATTTAATTTTATTCAAAAAATATTGATGATCCATTCCCAGCAACTTAAAGGGATAGCGGTAGATATAAAATAAATATGATCTTACTCTTCTAATATTTTTATACCAAATTTTTTTATGAGAAATTGGAAATATGTTCTTTTTAAAGAATTAATTATAGAATGATCATTAACATGTTATGTTATCATTAACATTATGTTTACGCCGGGGCCAATTTTTATGTTCTTCCCTTCATCTGGCGGCACACAATTATTACCTTTTCAGACCTGTATACGAGTTGTACATTTGCTAATAGTTATTAATTATAATTGTTATTAAAAAGTTTTTATAATAAATAAATGTTAATTTTTCATTATTTTAATTTTCAGCATCTAATAACACAATTGAATGCGTACCATCGGTGGCATGTGCCACCCAATAAGACAGACTAGTGCGGACCACCAGTGGTATGCGCCCCCTGATGAGGCAGATTAGTGCAGGCCAGCGGTCGTACATGCTGCCCGATGAGACTGACTAGTGCAAGCCACTGGTGGCCCGCGCTATTGTGAACGTGTTATTAGCTAACTTTATAAATTTTAAATTCTAATTATCTTAATTTCTGCTATGTTTAATTGTAATTCCGTCTTATTTTCAGCTCTTTGGTTTCCATATTAAATTTTTCTGTTAAAATAGATGAAAATATTCCATGTTTCTTCTTGCACTCAAAAGTTAGAGATATTATAGCAGCAAACATACATTTGAAATTTTTTAATTCTAGAAAGGGATGTCTATGAAGTTATCAGCATGTGATGTTTTATATGTGTTTTATTGTTTCCATGATATTTTGTATGTCGGTATTTTAAAATCACATACTTTTATTGCTGCTTTATTTTCTAATATTATATTTGTCATTTCTTATAAATGCTCTCAGTTTTACTTATTTTATTATGTATAACTATATACTTTCTTAGTACTATATATTGGATATCATTCAAAATTTTCTAATTGGTGAAATCCATTTTCTTGAAAAACCGTATCCAGATATTCAGAAGGAATGATGTCTGCAATGTAATTCTTTTCTTTTTTATATCTTTAGTAATTAAGCACAGTCTTGGGCTTAGCTGTAATGCTTGCCATTTATCATTCGTTTGCGAATACAAAAAGAAAAAAAAAAAAAAAAAAAATAGCAAGAATTTTTATGCATAAATACTAATCAGAGCATTATTATGCTTTGAATTACTATATATAAATATAATCTTAACATAGTGTTTTCAAACTAATTCAAATAAAAATATATGTAAATTAAGTTGTCTACTCAAAATTATTTACCGTGTCTTAATAAAGGTGGCTGTCCTCCAAACGAGCCATTTGAAGAAATTAGAAAAATCCATTCACTTTTTGACAGACGAGAGAAACTGCTCGATGCTGCCTGTGAGAATTACCATTATGGTATGTTTATGTACCTTTTGTATCTCATTTATTGATCAAATAGAAAAAAAAAATCGACAGAACTTGCACAAATCACATATTAAATTTAGTATTCAAACAGGAAAAACTATGAAGTAAGCATCAGCAATTTTTAGGCAATATTCTTTGTGCTATAACATATTTGTAAAGAATGATGAGTTGCTAGTCCCCTCCCCAAATAAATCTACATACCTATATTAAAGCATTTATCACTGCTAGTATGTGATATACTATTCTGCTCTATATACTAACAGTATATTCATTAAATTTATAAGCTTTTTTTTTTTTTAAAGGAATAACTTACTTTCATAAAATATATTTAGTATAACTACATACATGAGCACTATTAGGAATTTTAATCACTGAATGAATACACAGCTTAAATCATATTCCTATGTTTAAAAAGTCATGTCCCATGCATGAAACTTCCAGTATTGGAGTTTGGCTGTTAAAAAATGCAGTATACTCTCTATAAAAGAAATTGTCTACAGGAAAAACCTAATTTATATTACAGAATACATGAATTCTGCTGACTTGAAGTAACTTTTAGCCCTGTATTTTTTAGGGCATGCCCCCAAGAAAAGAGTCTACAAACTATTTTTTATAGGTGTTAAAAGCAACATGTTAAAAAGTTCCTATTTTAGTTGCTTCTGTTACAAAACTGCTCCACAAATAACATTCAAAAATAAATATCCACAAAATGAGCAGAAAACATATGTGGACGAGCTGCCTGGTGAGATTCTGGTGGTGAATAGTAAAACAATCTCTGTTATTGATAAAATACCCAAGATATGAAAGTGGCAAATTCCAGCAGCAGGGCTAAAAGGGTTAAACAGAAAATAATTTCATTTCTTTCATGAGAAACAGGTCTTTGTTATGCGACAGTCGCCTTTATTTGCCAGAGTTTTCATTCTTTGATATTACTGTTTTTTTCTAATGGACATCATTCTGTGGACTCAATGTTTCTGATGGCTTAAACATTAAAAAATGATATGAGGACTTAAAAAATGATTTATAACATTAAAAAATGATTTATGACATGTACCAAAAGAGTTACTTTTAGAAATAATAACTAAAGTAAATTATTGTTCATATACCTCCAGGAATGCCAAGAGCACTAAAATAAGTGTATGAGCTCTTATGAATGTTATTTTGAAAGTGATTGGCTAATATTATTTTACATTTCAAATAGAATTTTCTACATATTATTTTCTGCAGATTTTTTATTCAATTGTATTATGTTTATTGTGCAGAAATTTAAAGATGTGGTTTGCATGTAACATTTTAATATCTACATGTGTGATAAAAATATTATTTTTGGCAGTTGCCAATATTAATATCATCACCTGCTTCTTCTCTACCATTCGACATTGGCAGGGTTGGTCAATTTCTTACCTCATATATTCTGGAGTATTTTAAAAGTTCTACATCACTTAAATCTTCTTCTGAACATATCAAGCATTCCGCTTTTTATTTAGAATCCTCAAATTATTTTGGATTACAGCATAAATCTTCAGTTTTATCTTGTAAAAGGGTATTTCCTCCTTGTTTTTCTATTTTAACAGTGTTACATTTCATATATATTGAATTATTTTCTGAAAACTATAATGAAAAGTCTCAAATACAAATGAAATGCCACGACTTTCAATACAACATCAACATTTTGTCACCATAACACCAACTTGGTAATGTTCATTGCAATTCAACTTTTGTTCATTGCTGTGTACATGACACCAACTTGGTAATAGTGGTATTTGCCTGTTGCTTTCTACGATACCACTTTGCTAGTTCTGGCATTTGTCTGCTGCTTTGAACATGATACCAATATAGTAATAGCAGCATTTATCTTATAACTTTACACATGGCATCAAGTGGTGCTACTCAGTAGCAAGAATTAAATTTATATGCACTGCTCTTTTAATCTTTTGCATTTTGTACTTTGAACCTACTAACTTGCAGTGTGTCTCATGGCCTGTTGTTTTTCAAAGTGTTACACTTTTTTTAATAGTTATGCAAATATTTGAAAATTTACAATAATCTGTTATTAAAGTGGTGGCTAACAAAGCACTTTATATATGATGATGTATTTAAATTCATAGATGTGTTGGATATTAGTAACTGTATGGAGCTACTAATATAGCAGTACAGTTATGAATTTAAGTTAAATGCAAGTTGAATTTAAATAACAGCCCGTATAAATTACATTTTTAGCTGTCATTTGAATGCATGCACTTTCCTTTATTAAAGGCATTATTTAAATTTTCTTCCTCTTAAGTTTACAAAAACGATTATGATGACTTAAAATTATTTTTAATGTGATAATGTGTAGTTCCGAATGTTATAAAATTAGACTATACCTATAAATGTTTTCAGTGTGGAAAGGCAAAGTACTGGAAAATACAAAGAAAGCGGGCATATTTTTGAATATTACATTTTTTATAGAGAAAGTAATTAAAGAAGGTACGTTCTTTGCTTTTTCTCTGTCTTTATGATATTGCATATCACTTCATTGTTATCACTTTGTTGAAAACAAATGAAATTTTGTTTATTGCATTTTTTTAATATTAGACAAGAATCAATACCTAAATATGAATATATTTCTCAAAAGCTGTTATAATGCATATTCCTCCCATATTCCTATCCATATATTTCCAAGTCCTGAACATTTGAATACTAATTATATTTGTGTTTTAAAAATGAAAACAATATTTTTATAACTAATAATCAATTTCAAGTTTTTACTGACATTATATTCTTATCAGAAAATAAAGAAAAATGCTCAGAAGTTGCATCAGTTTATTGTAAGAAGTGATTATATTAGAAAAGTTATTTTATGGAAGCGTATTGAAAATATGTGGGTTATTAAAAAAATGTCTGCAGACTTTACTTCTTTTCAGGATTTTGCTAGTATTGTTCCTAAATGTGCATAATTATAAAAGTTCTCAGAATAAAGTACCGTACTTTGTAAAAATGAGGTATAGAAAAGGTTCTGTAAATATATAATTTATCTTATACAGTTCCTAGAGACCAAAATTTCCATACATTCATGAACAAAATCCTGTCCTTGTTATTGACTGAATATCTACATTTTTTAACAAAGTTCAAGGAGCAATTATGAAACAAGAGTCTCTTGGTTTGGTGATTAGGTGTTTTGTAGTAGGTTAATTACATTTTTAATTTATTATCTTTGTAACTTGCTCCAAAAAAGTTAACAATATTTTTTTTTTTTTTTTTTTTATTTATTTATTTTGCACGTGGGACTGCTGCTGAATTTTGTATTTAACTTAATAAATTGTTTAGCAAATTGGAATTTTTGTTCCATGAAAATTATATTAAAGAATTATTAATGAGAAAATTGATTTCATAAAACTTTATATCAAATATATTTTGATGAACTAAAGGACTGCAATATATACATGATACTCTGGATAATTTAACTTGAAGGGCACCATTTAAAATACATTTGAAAGCATTCTATATTTGCATTTATAGTTCTTGAATTTCCTTTCAGGTGATTCCCATTATAAAAATACTTTTTAATTGTATTGATAACGTCTTAATAATAATAAGAATATTGAATTTATGTGTTATAAAAAGGATTACCTTATAAATTACACCTCAGAGTTTCATTGTTTAGGTGGAAAAGTTATTCTATTTTATTTTTAAAAAGTAAAGTAAATCTGAATTTTTTCATTAATGCAGGATTCACAAACAGTACTTTTTTAACAGTAGCAGAAAAAATTCTAGTGATGTTGAAAATTTAAACTTAAATATGTGGTCTTAAAATAAAAGGATCAAATTTGTTTTGGATGCTAGAAGGATCTGCTCAATATTTTTCATTTGAGATTCAGTTTCATTGTTAAAGTAGATAGCCTCACAATATAACCCAATAAAAAGATTATTTTAGAATCCTGTGAGAGGAGTGTAATTCTGATACCCCCCACCACTGCTCTAAAATTGTACCGCTGTGCCGTTGTGCATAAATTATAATTTTTTTTTTCATAAAACTTCAGTTTAATTAATGTATTGAAATTTTCTTTCCATTAACACTGTTATGAATTTGTTTTTTTAGGTACAGAAAAAGCTGAACTTATAGAAGGAGAAACTAGAACTTTACTTCTGAGAGACACCTGTGCATCTTCTGAACCTTTCCCTAATTCTGAATATCTTATTATGGGCAAAGATGGGCAAAAGTACAAAGATGATAATGACCAAATATGGTACGAAATTTAATTAAAAAAATTTAAGACAAAATGAAATCTCTTTAACATCTATGGTCAATGTTTATTGTGAATGAATTTATTCATTTTTTCTTAGTTATAGAGGTCGTAAAAAAGGGGATTACAGTCTCTTTATTTCATTAAAAAGTGATCTTGCATAATAATTTCTATTTGCAAAGTTCCTCAAAATAAGATAGACAATTTTACATAAAGAGAATCAACACTATGGGTACACAAGAGAATTTTGTAAATATAAAATGTAATTTTTACATGATTTCCATGCAGCATAAGTTGCAAATAATAAAGTATTCATTTATCTTTAACTAGTTAAAAATAAAAATATATACTATTAGAAAATATAAATTAGTAAATATTTTGAAGCCCAAATACAAGTTTAAAATAGATATTGTTTTATCTAGAATTGAACTGTAAATTACCTAGAAAAGCACTTTTTATTTTGTAGCTTTTTCCTAAATTTGCCCATTAATATTTTGATTTTCCTGAACAATCAATAAGGAAAAAAGAACTAATTACACTGCTTCCCTTTCTGTTGCCATATCCTGAAGGAAAGCAGTTAAAAAATAATGTTCCCTCAGGGCACTCACTTTTGTGAGTACGGGTGTGGCAATCCCGAGGTACCCTAGCCCTTCAGGGGATGATCTTCTTGGTGAGACGGGTGTCACGATCCTGGAGCCCCAGTGATCTATCCTCTTTTCCGTCTCCTCTCCTCTTGGCTGGAACTTTTTCCTTTCCCTTCTCCCTCGTGGTTTCTCTCTTCGGAGTTTGGGGCTCGTCACGAGAAACTGGAACAACCCTTGCATCTAGTTTTCAAATGGCGAGAAAACTGCCCACGTGTTTGCCGTGCGTGGAGACCCGTGTCGCTGGAAAGGAAGGTCCTCTAGTTGAGGGGCGAGGTACTGTCCCCAACACACTGTTTTGGCCTCTGCTTCAGCTAAATGGGAGGCACCTTAGTCGTCCTCACTGGTGTCAATCGGCTGGTCACTAGTCCTTGTGTCAGTGGCTTGGGGTCAAGCTCTCAGGAGTACCTGCTTTCGGGAAAGCCGACCGTAGGGCTTCAGTTTGCGTATAGGTCCGGCTAGCCCTAACACAGGAATCTGTGTTCCCTTGTTGGGCTGCGTCGGACCCGAATCATTTTCTTCCTTTAATATGGCTAATTCACAAATTTTTCTGATCAAAGACTTCGAAGTCACTCAAGTCGCTCAAAGTTCTAATTGTGAAAAATCTACTGCAAAAAAAAAAAAAAAAAAATACGGACAGATGAAAATGCAAATAATCCTAATAGTAGTCCCCGTTTTCTTGTTATGTCTAGTCCTTCTGGCGAGCTGCAAAAGATGTCACCTTTTGTAATAAACAAGTATATTCATTCCTGTATTGGTGAGCCGAAAAATATAAAGCGTCTCCGCTCTGGAGACTTGCTTATTGATACAACCTCAGCCACCCAGTCTGCTTCTTTACTTAAAATAACCAAACTTGGACAAGCGGATGTCACAGTAACAGCACATAAGACACTGAATTATTGTCGCGGTGTAATCTCGGAAATCGACCTTCTGTGTGTTCCCGAAGAAGAGATCGCATCCGAGCTATCTAGCCAAAATGTCTGTGGTGCAAAGCGGATCAAGATGCGTAAAGAAGGTAAGTTGATCGATACGAAACACGTGATCCTTACCTTCAACACGCCTGTTCTGCCCAAGAATATTAAGGCCGGATACTTAAATTGTCCTGTAAGACCTTATATTCCAAACCCTATGCGATGCTTCCAGTGCCAGCGCTTCGGCCATTCTAAGATGTCTTGTCGTGGCAGCCTCACATGCGCCCGATGCTCACAGATTGGCCATGATTCTGAAAATTGTACCGCTGCGCCGTTGTGCATAAATTGTAAGGGTGAACACCCAGCATTTTCTCGCTTGTGCCCAAAATGGAAATCCGAAAAAGAAGTACAGACTGCAAAAGTAACTAGGAACATCACATATGCTGAAGCCAGAAGATTAGTCCAAAGCACACAGGTTAGACCAAGTACATCTTACGCCAGTGCCCTTAAAATATCTCGTACAGTTGCCACCCAAACTTCAGTTGGTACGCAGACCCCACCAAACAAAACTCAACAGATTACAAACAACAGAAAAAAAGAAAATGCGACCCATCTAGTACAAACAAAAAAAAAAAAAAAAAAAAAAAAAAAAAAAAAAAAACTGTAATTCAAGCCAAACCTAAAATTAAGACTCAGGAAATAATAAATAAAAGTAGAAGCAACGGCAATAGCTCTTTTGATGACATGATGTCTGAATTTGCGGATTCACACAGTATGGAAGTAGAAGAGGGTCTAGAAGTTCCCAGGCATCTACTTCCACGAAAAACAAAAGAACAGCACAGAAAAACCAAAAACCATTCATAATGGCCACCCTCATATCATGGAACTGTCGCGGTTTCCACCAAAATTTGCTCGACATCAAAGCTATAATCAATGTTTATCATCCTGTATGCTTCGCAATTCAGGAAACAAATCTAAAACCGGAACAACAGGCAAAACTTCGAAGGTTTTCTTTCATCAGGAAGGATTACCTTGCAGGTGAACGTGCGTGTGGAGGTGTAGGTCTCCTGACCTCACTCGACTATCCCTCAAGTTTCCTTCCTTTGACGACATCCCTCCAAGTTGTTGCTGTACAAGTCAATTTTCCTATTGTGTTTCAGTCGTTTCTCTTTATTTGCCTCCTAACGAGCGCATTGATCAGCAAGATTTAATTGGTCTTATAGAGCAGCTGCCTGTGCCTTTCATCATAATAGGAGATTTTAACGGCCATAGTCCACTCTGGGGTAGTAAAGATACCAATTGCCGAGGAAGACAAATTGAGCAAATGATTGAAGATTTATTCAGTAAAAACTGTATTTAGTGATACACCATATCACAAAATTTTAAAAGAATTTCCTTCAGTTACTAGATTACCAGATCCTAACCAACCTGTTAAACATAACACCGTTCATTATATCATAACTAAAGGTCCACCTGTGGTTGCAAAACCTCGTCGGTTAGCTCCAGATCGCTTAAAAATAGCAAAACAAGAATTTCAAACTATGATGCAATTGGGGCATTTGAGACCTTCGAGCAGCAATTATGCATCCCCACTTCACATGGTTCCAAAAAAGGGAAGTCTGGAATGGAGACCTGTAGGAGATTATCGAGCATTGAACGCTCAAACGATAAAAGACAAATACCCTATTCCATGCTTAGCCGATTTTACTGCTGCATTGCACGGTACTAAAATTTTTAGTCATGTCGACCTGATTAAGGCATACCATCAAATACCAATTAACCCAGCCGACATCCACAAAACCGCCATATGTACACCATTCGGTTTATTCGAAAGTACCCGTATGCAATGCATCTGCGACTTTTCAACGTTTTATAGATGAAGTCACGCGGGATTTAGAAGGTGTTTACGCTTTTGTCGATGACTTGCTCATAGCCTCTAAAGATTCTGAGGAACATTGCAGGCATTTGAAAGCTTTATTTTCCAAACTTCAGGAATATGGACTTTGCATAAATGTTTCAAAATGCACCTTTGGTCAAACATCTATTGATTTCTTAGGTTTTCACCTTAGTGAAAACGGAATTGAACCTCTTCCTGACAAAGTCAAATGTATTTTAGATTTTCCTCAACCTACCACTCTCACTCAGCTTCGCCGATTTTTAGGCATGTTTAACTTTTATAGATGTTTCATACCTAAAGCAGCACATATTCTTTCTCCTTTAATAAAATTGTTAGAAGGCTATATTAATAAAAAGAAATCTCGTTCTCGTGTTCAGGATTCATCCCCACAATAAAATTGGAACGAGAATGCTGAACAAGCCTTTATTGCTGCCAAAAATGCCATTGCTCAGGCTACCCTTTTGAGACACCCTATTCCCAGAGCCCAGCTAAGCATCTGGGTAGATGCCTCAGACGTCGCAATCGGCGGCACACTTATGCAGTTGTCTCAACAAACATGGGAACCTATAGCATTTTTCTCTATGAAACTCAGTAAAAGTCAACAGAAATGGTCCGCGTACGATAGGGAATTATTTTCTATTTATTCTGCAATTAAGAAATTCCGACACATGTTAGAGGGCAGAAATTTTATAATTTATAGGGATCAAAAACCGTTAATATACGCTTTTAAACAGAACCCTCATAAATGTTCACCTCGACAATTGCGCCATTTAGATTTTATTTCTCAGTACTCTACTGATATTAGGTATGTGCAAGGTTCAAAAAACGTCGTTGCTGACGCTCTTTCAAGAATCGAAATTGATTCCATAACAAAATCTCCATTTTTGGATTTTAAAAAATTTTCGGAAGCTCAACGGCATGATCCGGAGGTACAAGACCTTCTCAAAAACAACACATCATCTTTGAAACTGGAATTTAAACCATGCCAATATTCTGATGGTAATATTCTTTGTGATATATCAACGGACATTCCTCGTCCATTTGTTCCGAATTCCTTTCGCAGACTCATCTTTAATCATCTGCATAATCTGTCACATCCAGGAATTGCAGCTACTACGAAGCTTATTTGTTCTCGTTATGTATAGCCCGATATGAAACGTCATATCAAAAATTGGGTGAAATCCTGTGAATCTTGCCAAAAATCGAAAATTACTAGGCATACTAAAGCACTACTGGGCACATTCTCTCTTCCTGATGCACGTTTTTCAGAAATCCATATGGATATCGTCGGACCGTTACCTCCATCAGAAGGCAATGTGTACCTTTTGACTCTAATAGATAGATTCTCCAGATGGCCTGAAGCCATTCCCATCCCGGATATGAAAACGGAAACCATTTGCAGAGCCATCTTCAACTGTTGGATATCTCGTTTTGGCTGCCCATCGATCATAACAACAGACCAAGGTTCTCAATTGAGATCCGCACTTTTTGCAGAATTCACGCGCATTTTGGGTACGAACAGAATCACAACAACAGCCTATCATCCAATGTCAA